GATTGCAGCAGAAATGACAGTACCTCATGAGCGGAAGGTGTGAGAAAGTGAGAGCACCGTGCCACACGAATTGCAAAAGGTGCATTGAGGCGAAGGGCGAAGGTGAGAGCGGAAACGCAAGGGGAAATCAAAGCGGAATCCATTCAAACAAGGTTGATTAGGGTGGAGGCCATCCCTTATCTATTCAAAGCAAAGCAAGGGGAGGAATCAACTGAAATGTTCAGGTGAGGATTGAGGTGTGAAGCTCACACAGAAGGCTCAAGAGGCCAAAGCCTCCAAACATGGAACTCGATTTGGGAGGGCCCCAGTCTTGCTTGGTGTATTGTTTGTCATTTTGTCTGACCCTTCCGATAAACTCTCATGTAGAGTCGCCCTTTTTGCAGGGCTTTGATGATCCGTCACATGTTGGACGGATTGGCATTTCGCAGATCAATAGAGGCTCAGAGACCAACACGTATCTGGCATGTTGGTACTTTTCCCACCGTGCCATGTAATTTCGAGATTCGGAAAACACCTTGCTTCAGGTAGGTTGGAGGGAGCAAGTACTCTTTGGCTTAAGGTAGCCCTCAAATGGTCTGTTCTGACCTGAGTGTGACTGGCTTGGCTTGAGAAAACTGGAGGGGGTTGGCCAACGTGCCAAGCAAACAAACATACACCATCAGGGAAACCCAAAACTTCAGTTTCGCATATTTGTTGGCTGCAGCAAGGATCCTCTTCCAATCTAGTTGCCCTTTCTCGATCCCCTTTCCCTTCTTGTCCTGCCAAGTTCACCTTACACACGAGCAACACTTGCATTGCCTGCCTGATGTTTTCAACATGTGAACATCTTGCCTTTTCAATTGCCTAACATGGTTCTAGTGCATAGCGTGTAGCCAGCATTTTCAAACTTTTTCTCAGTCTGCCCTCATCCTAATTCTGAGAGCCACACCAAATCATCCCATGGTCGGTCAACAGTGGTTTTTGTGGTTCAATGGGGTTCATCATGGTTTATCATCACGGTTCATCATCATGGTTCATCAATGGGGCTCATGCACCAAAGGCAGCATGGCAACCTGCGAGCAAGCAATATTGGAATAAGCCCGAGATCCTCTTAGTTGATGAAAGTCCAGTGCATTTCTATGGCGGCTGACGGCCGCTCAAGCTTCGCTGTAGTGGCGAAATTCCGTCTTCTAAAATGGCCTCCATTTACAAGAATATTGAAGGACACTATTATACAATATAAAGAAACTAATCAATCGTAGCGCCTGATCCCGTCCGCATCAGCTGCACCTCTGCCTCATAACCTGGGTGGGAGAAGGCAGTGCGAGACTTCAGCCCCGTGCGGGATCCGTCAAGACCATTTACAGTCATGAGTCATTCTACTAGGAACAAGAAGCTACTAGCTGGAGGCCATCGCTAGGTTGGAGGCCATTCCTACTAGATCCTACTAGTAATAAGAAGCTACTAGTATTGAACAACATGTAAAGTATGCTCCCAAACACATGTCTCCAAACGAACAAGCGCCTCTGAAATTAAGGAAGGTGACATTCTCCCAGGCGCCTGTGAAGATCCCAGAAGTTATCTCCTGGAGTGTCTGACATCTTCCATGGAAGGAGGTCCGACAACGGCATGCCATGGATTGCCGGAGCTTCCGAAAGGCGGCGTCTTCGACGCGACCTCTCAGCGTCGCACTCCATGACTCCAAAATGAGTCAAGTCAATGAGCCGAAGAACTCCAGAAAGCGATGGCCTCCAACCTAGAAGCCTTTGTTCCTACTAGCTTCTTGTTCCTAGTAGTAAGGCCAGGAGCTCCTAGTAGCGTCCTTGCTCCTAGTAGCGATGCCCTTTGTTACTAGTAGCTTCTTGTTCCTAATGGCCTCCAACTGAAAAGCTTGGGAGAAACACAGTGACAGAGTGGTTTCCATTGGCAACGAGCATCTTGCAAAAATCTAACATGCGTGCACAGTGCAAAACCAAAGTGATCCTTTTTCGGCAGTCCCCTGTTCAATCGTGACTCTGCGATTATCCACTTATGCTTTGGTTCAGCATGGTTCAGCCACACTTTGTGGGAAGCAACTGTGATCGTTCGCCTTCCATCTCAATGTCCTTGCGGGCTTTGCCATAAACGATGCACCCAACGATCGTCATGCTAGCGCCGAGAACCTGCACATTGCTCATGCCAAACATCCCACCCCAAGCTTCGAAAATGATGATGAGAAACTTGTTGGCGTTCGTCATCACCAAGAAGCTCGTGGCCGTAATGAGGCTCTGGGCCCAAATAGATGTGTAGCTAATGGCCAAGCCCAAAACGCAAGTGATGAAGATGTTCATTTTGCCCCAACCGTCCAAGTGTGCAACAGCTGCTGGTAAGGCATTGAGTTCACCATTCATGATGACGACAAATCCCACAGGAACCATACCAATGACATTGTTGATAAGAGTGATGCCAGAGTTGGAGATATCCACTGGGTATTGATCTTTGGAAAGCAACAAGCGTTGTAGTAAACGATCCACCACTGCAAGCGCACTATTCAACACCACCCACCACACCCCTCGCCAATTGAAGGGCTCAGGGCGATCTGACATGTAAATCATGGCACCGGCCAGCATACACATCATGGAGAGCAGCATCATCCAACTCACTCTCAAAGGATCTGGATAGAAACGTTCGAAGATTAAGGTCCCGAGAGGGGATGCATTCCGAAGTACGATGACCAGTGACATGGGGGCATTCTTTAAGGCCAAGATCGAGGTCAGCAACATGCCTGAGACAGATTAAATAGCAATATGAAAAGTTTAAGATTAAAGCAGGAGGCGCTCTCCAAATTGCTTCCCTTGTCGATGGGTCAATACCTGTCAAAAAAAATCTATTCATTCATTCAAAGCATTCATAACCTATCGATCCATATCTTTTCTTTTTGAAGGGCACCGAATCTTGGGCGCAATTTCTTCATATTCCAATGTGTTTGCATATTGGCATATTGGTGTGCGTCTTGAGTTGTTCTGCGACGCCACGTTGAAGGGGGTGCTACAAACAAAGGGAACTTTCTTGCCAAGAAACCTGTGTACATTGGTGCTACCAAGGACCAGCGGAAGAAGTCCCGATATGAGCCAATATGGACATAGGGTAACGCGAAGGCGACTAGGAACACTGCTGTGAAAAAGAGCTGAACCCAAACCAACGAACACTCCTTGGACGTGCTCAAGCAACACTCCCACGGAAGTCGCCAACAAAATGCACACACACACACATGCTCTGTCTCAGTCTGTCTCTGCCTGTCTGTCGGTGTATGTCTGTATGTCTGTTTGCATGCATGCAGGCATGCACCATGACCATGCGTGCAGACATGCACGTGCGTGCATGCATGTATAATATATATATATATGCATGCCGCCTGTGTGTATACATCGAGGCAAATCCAGGACTCCAAGGGAAAGTCACGAATGGCGAGCTTGTTGGACAACATCATCCCTGAAGAGACAAGGCAATAAATGGTGGTGGCCAGAGCCATCTCCATCTGCTCCTCTTTGCGCGTCATCTGCACGAGATAGGTTGCAAGACTCAAGAGCTGCAACCGTTATGTATGTACGCTAGTTAAGAATGAAGGCGTAGGACATTGTGCTGCAAGCCATCCAGTCACGGCGAGCACCAAGCTTCACACAAGCGATCAAACAACACTTCGTTTAACATCGTTTAACAATATTGCACATAGTATTAAAACATATTATTATGTCCATTGATGTTTGCAATATGCCCGGGTTATTTAAACTTACGAACATTGTGCCACTGTTGGGTTCATTTTCCTCCAAATCTTCACCATTGAGAGCTGGACATCTTTCCCCCGCTCTCTCGGCTTCGGAACATCTTAAGTGACCGAAGCTTCCCCACCGCCTGCCATGTCGTGCCACTCACTTCCGGAATGTTTCCATTGAGCTTGGGGCTTGCCAAGCTCACATGAGTGCAATCTTCAACGCTGATTGTGTTCATCGTTTCGTGGAATCCCTGAGTTTTCTAGCTTCTGTATGCTTCATGTCTTTTCGGATCTTGAAAAGCTCGGAATTCGAAGGATTATAGGATCAACAACATCAGCGCTGACTGGCAAACTACCCAGTGTAATCACGGCTCTGTTTTGTGGGCGTACTTCAGCTTGATCATATGATCCTTCAGCAGCCCTGGCCATCGAATTCCTTACCTCCCAGAAGAGCGCTCAATCCTACGCAGCAATTTTAATCTTCAATTTCTCCATGGGAGGCATTCTATACAAAGGAAAGCAAGGAGTCCGCGGTCCTCATTGGTGGACTTTGGGAACAAACCAAGCACAAATGATAGGACGAATTGGGCAATTGTCGCCATGTATCGTGACTATGCTGCCCTCAAACCCTTGCTGCCATACACTCTTGCTGGGGCACTTTCCTGCGAGCAGGACAGGCTCTCGGAGGGCTGGAGCACACCAAGCAGTCCAGTTAAAGGTTTTCCAATCGTTTGTTTCACTTGAGCCGTTTCAGCAAGTTGACTCCGTTGAGAAGAGGCAAAAAGGCGTTCGTGGTACGAGTGGCGAGTGGTCAAGTCCATTCTCTAGTAGCAAGATGGTAAACGTCTTCTATGTAATTTCAAACAAGAACACTAGACATACTAGAACTTTAGATTTGAGAAATACTAAAAATACAAAAAACAGTAAATAGATTGATGTTCATGATGTTCATCTGTCTGCGCTTTCGTCCAAAGTGCGTTGGCATTGTGCCATCGAAGGATCCCCGGGCATCATCCTGGCGTTTGCGGGATTTTAAGAACACAATAGGAGGATGAGCCAGGGGGGGTAGGCCGCCGAGGTAGCTGCTAACTACTGGACGCAGGATAGCGCTTCTTCAAGGAAGCCCCCCCCGCCGCCCTAAAGGGAGCGGGGGGGAGCTTCCTTGAAGAGGCGCTCGGACCAATGATTTGGCTCCTAGATGTGTAGGGAAACTTAACATTGACATTGACTCTCCAAAATAATCTTCCACGGAGTAGTTTTCCGGGTCAAAGTGACCTTGTTACTAGTAGCTTCTTGCTCCTAGTAGCGATGCCCTTGTTACTAGTAGCTTCTTGCTACTAGTAG